TAACAAGCAAGCTTTTAGTCTTTATCACACTCACAACACATGCGATGAGCAAGTTAAAACCAGTGCCTCCATAACCTTCTGCACTTTTTGCCATTCTCCTTTACTGATTTAACTTTCTTTCAATCTGTATTTGGTGAAATGTATAAGGTATAGTATTCTGACATTAAGCTTAAATATGAGGAACTTCTCCCACACTGGCCACAGGTCTCAATATCAGAAATCAGCAAATTAATTCATCAGCTGAAATCTAAAAAGCCAACTTGAATTAGACTTGCCATAATTGATTAAAATTAGTTTAGATTGATAGGTTTCAGCTTGCTCTACTATTGACTTATATAGCCAGAATCCCTCATGTCCAAAAGGGCAAGCAGTTTTTTTGGGAAGTAGACATACAATAGAGCAAAGGGTTTAGCTGAGTAATTTACTTGGGAAATATATAACTGGAAGTAGCTGAAGCAATCCACAATTTTATTAAAACAATTAAATGTTCATCATGCCAGTTTCTCATTCAGGTATGTAAAAGGCAGAGTTTGTATCATGGTGTCACATGTGTTTTATCATTTGCCCCCACCTCTAGTAGGTATACTTGTATATAGCAAAACCAAAATCTGCCCTGTATACTGTATTTGTTGATTATAATCAGGTTTTTATTATATATCTAGGAACAAATTATGGAAAAAGTTCATAGATACTTCATTTGATCTATGCTGTTTACTCTTATCTATAAGATATACAGTATATAAGCTGTTATCTTAAGGTGATACTGCAGAGCAGTTCTCTAACTCATTTTCTTATCAAAAGGGGATTATTACACAGCTATTATATTTGTACATAATTTATATTGTCAGTTATCTGATAAAATAGAATTTACCCATCAGATATTTCAGACATGTTTAACAATGGTGCCAACATATGCAGATTATGCAGTGATTCTACCACAGACTCCAGTAGAACTAAACAGAACTACTCAATCCTTATCCCTCTTCTGCAAGGAGCATCAGCATCACAATTAAATTTCAATAAAGTAAAGATTTTTTTTCATAAAAATCTGAATTGGCTCATTAATGGGCAGATGTCTGAGTTAGTGGCCCATTCTAATTATCTTAGGAAGGTTTTTCATTTAACTGGGAATCAGAAAACTTGCCTTTTGTATGCTGCTCAAAAGGCATGAAGAAGCATTGCAACTATTCTGTCTTCTAATAGAAGTGGACTGTAATACATTCCAGCTGCTATTATTGCTCATTATAACCAACCCTCTAATTAACTTCTCCACAGATGGGAATTAGGACTAGGAAGTACAATATCTTGAGAATTCTCAAGCCCAAACTTCTGAGGAAAGTCTGGATTGTGGTGTACCAAATACAGCACTGGGCCAGGCTGAGTGTAATCCTGGCTAAGGGTCAAACGCTCACACAAGTTTGGTCCCGCAGGCATTAACTAACACTGTGTCATGTGGAAACAGAGAAGAGTATGAACTGTGGCAATTTGAGCTTTCTCCTATGATGTTGTTGGGAATGGAAATGACTGCGCCAAGGGACACGTTGAACAGTTGTACAGACATGAGTGTGTAGGAAGGCTGGAGCAGGATTTTTGCCCAGACAGGAGCAGGAAGTTGACTTTTTGGCTCCCAAGTAGTCTGTTATCTGAAGAACTTACTCTTCCAAAGTCCCACACAGGATTCATTTAAACCTCCTTTAACTCTTCATTAATACCATAATGTAAATTCCTCTATATTTAAGGAAAGATTGCCCACGTGGGATAAAGTGGTCCCACTTCCTATTATCACCTGCGTAGGATATTCAAAATCCCTCCTGAAAACAAAATTCTCATAGCTCCAGATGGTCCTTATATAAAATATCATTTTGCACATAAAAAGGATAAAATCACATGACGAGTAGCAAAACGTTTATGTGGCAGCCTGCCAGATCTTGCTGTTAGATGCAGAAGGTAAATATTTAGATTGTTGGGTGTAATATACTTTTATTGTCTTTTTTGTATGGATGTTAAATATTGTTTCTGGTATGTAACTGCAATGAATTGATTAATGGATTAATAGGGTCAACTCAAATATTTTAATAGTAAAATAGTATTTTATTGCTAAATATTATTACTGTATTTCTTTGTAGTTGAGTCACTGAGTAGTTTATTCACAATTATATAGTTATAATTTTAGTTTTAAATATTTTATTTTTAATGTTTAATACTTGTATTTATACTGTTCATTTGTTTGCTCTATTTTATTCTTACAAATTCATCTAGTTATTTTACCAAAATTTGTTATAAAACAGTATATAATACTATAGGTTAGTGACTGAAAAAAATGTGTTTGTTCATTTGTAATTGTATATACGTTATGAAAGAATTGAAGGAATTGTATTATTCTTCACTGTCCAATTATATCCCCAGCAGTAGGCAACCTTATTGGATTTTCACTCATCAGTTAAATCCCAGTAGGTGTATTTGTTAAATTGTTTTCAATGGGCTTTTTAAATTGCCAGGAACTATGAGCAGCCAAAAGACAAAATGATGGAGTGATGCATATTAGAAAAAAAATCAAACACATTGCAACATTAGAGCTCAAAAATTCAATTTCTGAGGTAGAATAACAGAAAATACGGAGAACATTGGAAGGTAGACTATTATGTCAAGTGTTTAACACTGAAGCAAGGCTTTAAGGCAGAGATCTCCAACCTTTCTGGGCTCAAGACCGGAGGGAAGGAGAACAGCTTCAAAATTGGTGTGCGTGTGTACACACACGCATGGGGCCACACACACTGGTCTGGCACTAGCAGCCCCGTTCACGCATGTGGCATGCACTGGTGCTGTGCACATGCACGAATGGCTGCACACCCCCACGGCAGCTAGTGGCCTGTTAGTGCATGCACAAATGGGCTGCACAAACTGCCCACACTAGCGGCGCATGCGCAAACAGGCTGTGAACACCCACCCTGTGCTAGCATTCCCAGTCGCACCTGTGTGCATGCACAAACAGCACCATGGGTGCTAGCGGAGTGGGGAGGAAATGTGCGCCCACGCATGCATGCACCGGCCAGCTGTTTCCACAGCCCACTAGCCAAGAGCCCATGAACCAGTCCTGGGCCACAGACCATAGGTTGGGGATCCCTGCTTTAAGGGATACACACAGAACTGAAGCCACAGATTGTACACCACTACACCAGGAGTAACCAAAGAAAGCAATGGCCATTCCTGGCTCAGATCATTTTGCCTGATGCCAATTTGTACAGATATAAATATCCAGTCCATATAAGCCAACAGCTTAGCCCATGAGAATTATTTGATGGAAACCAGGCCAACTGCCACAGGCTAATTAATGGATCTAAAAGTGAATAATAATAGTCCTGCTAATTTTTCTGGATTTTTTGACAGTTTTTGCAAAAATAGTCAATCACTTCTTGCAGATGGGACAGAAATGATACTGACTGTAGTTGACCAGCAATGGGATATACATGGGAACTGTGGTTCTTCTTATCTTTTTTTTTATACTCTCAGGGGCATTTGATAACATCAGTACTGATACTGTTTTGAGCCATGTGTAAGGGTTGGGAGTTGTGGACATTGTTTTATGTAGATGCCACTCCTTTCTGAACAGTCGTCTCAATGGGTATGGGATTCATTGTCTTGTTGAAATAAACAACCACAAGCCAAAGCTTCCAAGAGTAAACAATGGTAATTTATTTGTACTCCTTTGCAAAGGGAGTGCTCCTTGTGCATACAAGCACACAGTGGACAGACCTTAAATCTTCAATATTCATTCTTTATATTCTCCATTGCTGTTACAAATTTACCCACCTCTTCTTCATTGACTTAGTAATCACATTGTAATCCTGTCATCACAACCTATCCAAAGCTTCTAAAGTGAATACATTATCTCCGCCCCTGATTACATCTCCCACCCACCCCTTATTTCTATTGTCCCTGGCCCTTATTTGCGAATTACCTTTTATTGTTGTTAATTCCTAGGGGTTGTCACTAAAGTTGTTATCATATCAATAAATTCTGGTTAGGACCGGTTTTCAGCATAGCAGAGACTTTCCCAGATACAATTCTCAAGCTTCAAGCTAGACTCATGAGATTAAAATATATGCAATATATTTGCTTCACAGGCTAGCATGTCTTCTCACAGTTTTGTAAAAACAATAAGCTCTTTTTACCACAATGGGCATTCCTGGGAAGGAGAATTTGGATCTTTTGGCATATCAGTGTAGGATGCTTCAATGCTTACCCATCTTCTCTGTTCTTTTCAAAATCCACTTGAAATCACAAAGGAAAACAATTCACACTATTTTAAAGTGAAATATTGTCTGTATGCTTATGATATCCAGCTTTACATCTCTTCCTGGGCAGAGAAGAAGTAGTGGAAATCTTGACCAATCTCTTGTGAGATGGATGAGAAATGCTAGCAACATGGAGGTAGTGAGAAATGAGAAATCCTCAATTTCCAAAAAAGTCTTTGCCTGTAGCTTAGACAGCGTGGTACAATCCTGAGAGTAGATCCACAACAGTTGGATAGGCGAGTAGAAGACGTGACTGAGAGACTTTGCTCAGTGTAGCAGTTGAGGTCTTTCAAAAACAAAAACCAAGAGGCTCTGGTAACTCTTATTACTCATGCTTTGCTAAGTTTGTATATTTACTAATGCAATGCACTCAACATGGGGATGCTTTCAAATGAAGTTTGGAAATTACAGCCAAAGCACTGCAATATTTAATAAGGAGGGAAATATTGTTATCATGGCTTCTAATAAAGTTCTGGGCTCAGTTCAATGAGTTGATGATCATTCTTGAGACAAAGATGCAATGCTGAAATTTGAAAATAACTAAATTAGAGTAATATAATTCATCGAGCAGGATGGAAAAATCATTTTTTTAAGAAAAAAGACAAAAATATTGAGAAGTTATACTGCATAGTACTGGCATGAATTATGTCACAATTTATCTTTATGATGTCATCAATGTAACAGTTATATACTGCTATTTAGTTATTAATAAAACAGTTCAGCAGTCATTGGGGCAGCAAGCTAGTTGTAGGTAAGGCCTTGTAAATGGCTGTTCATATTGAGCATTAAAAAGACTTTCTTAAAAAAGAATAGCTGAAATTTTGTTTCTAGATGGATAAGTGTATGATAGGATTATCTGAAAATCTGTGTTGTTTCAAAGCTGTTACCTACATTTTTTTGATGGAAAATAGTGAGGAAAATTGATCAAACCATCTCCCAGCAACACAGTAATTATTGTAATAACAACAAAAGTAGAAAGTAATACTTAAAAAAGAGTACAAAAAACTAATTATAATATTTCTTGTTATATAGCAGTAATCTAAGAATGATAATGTATTGTAATGCACATTTTATAAAGACTGACTGAATTTACACAAAGGTTTTCTTGTGATTTGTTATTGTATTTCCATAGTCAGAATAACACCACCATCTGAGGATGACCAATTGAATTTCCAGTTTATCTTGGGCTGAAAATTTTAAACTATGTCGCGGTACATGAACCAGAGTAACAGACGCAGAAGGCTGCATCGTAGCAGGCGATTAAAACAAAGGAAGAGAACTGCTAGAAGACATCGAAGGATGCATAAGAGAGGTTTTAAAAAATAACTAAAGACTTTTGAAAGGAACATTAAGAAATGATGAGAAAAAAATGAGAGAAATTCTTATATCGAAGGAAAGCATTATGCTGCTTTCTTTTAGTTTCAATTTTCTAAGACAATTTATTGTATAAATATTTTTAAATGTACAATTGAATAAATCACATGGGAAACTCTATCATAAAAAGACGATTAGGCAAAACTTGACATATTATTTTACTTTGAAATTAATGAAACAAGTTTCTTATGACTTAATTCCCACTATTGTCAAATACCTTCTTCCAATGCCAAGTTTAAGAGCCTTTGCATGCTAAGTTTAAAGATAGCTTTTACATACTACTTTCACGAGTTGTAAAATGGTTATTATTTTTCATTATATTTGTTCAAACTTCATATATGTTACTACCAACCTTTTTGATTATTTAATAAAGGTTTACGCCAGTCTCATTACCGGAGAAGCTCCTTCTCAGCCTAGCCACCTTCAGCTCTTGAAATAGGACAACTTCAGTCCCCAAAACCAACATGTTGGAAGACCAGGACTGTTATATCTGATCCACCAAGTTTCTGCAACCATTCATGCTGGACAATAAACCATTTGAGCATCACTAGGACTGATTTTCGTCTCCCTATGAAACATACTTGTTAGGAAGAGCTTTGATCACAGTTTGAAATATGATGATGAAATTTAAGGATTTGGGGGTGCATTAGATCCAAACTTTTTTAGAGAGAAGTGATTGTTTGCTTTTTTAGAACATGTGGAATCTCATGGGCAGCAAGTTACTGAATTCTCTGCTTTTCTTTAAAGAGAACCTTTAAAGCTATAACAGTAGAATTTCCATCAAAAGATACTGGAGTGGAAACTGCTGCATTTCAGAATTATAAAATGTGTGATTAGGAGAGCGTTACTGAAAATGGTACTTGCCGTGGTTCCAATAGATGAAACTCTTCAAAAGAACTTCGAGGCGTTGTTTACCTTAAAGAATCTTTTATTCGAGAGACAAAGTATCAGCACTACATAGTTGAAACCAGAAACTAAATTTCCCTCCCCTGGATACAAAGTAACAAAGTGCAATTCCCTCCTTTAATAAATAATCATAAATCACATTCTCCAATTAGCATGAAGTGCGGGTTTTCTTCCCAGCTCTCCAGCCCGCCAAAACATTATCAGCTCTGGGCCCAATGTCCTTGGGTTCCCACAATTAAGTTGTTATTGTTATGACTAGCTGGACTCTCATCCACACTCCCCCTCCCAGCAACAATTAATTCTAAAAGCAATAGAGAAAATGGCTGTATTTCCATCTGTTGTCAAAGCAAGATCATCTGATGTTAGCAGCATTGACAGTACCATTGTTTTGTCTTGGGCAGCAATTCCCATCAATCTAGGTACATAAGTCTAAACATGACGGGAGTTAAACTCCAAATAGAAAAGAGCAAAACAGATGATTCGAGTGCTGGAGGGTAAAATATATGAAGAATAGTTGTAGGAACTGGGTATGTGTAGTGAAAAGAAGGACTAGAGTTGACATGATAGCAGTGTTCCAATATTTGAAAGGCTGCCACAAAGAAGAGAGGATCAACTTATTTTCCAAAAGACCAGAAGCAAGACAAGAAAGTAAACAAAGAGATAATGGATGGAAAGTAAACAAGGAGAGAAACAACCTAGAACTAAAAGGAAATTCCTAACAATGAGAACAATTAACCAGTGGAATGGATTGCCTTCAAAATTTGTGGCTGCTCCATCACTGGAGGGTTTTAAAGAAGAGACTGGACAGCCACTTGTCTGGAATGGGTTCCCTGCTTGAGGGTCTCCTGCTTGAGAAGGGGGTTGGACTAGACAACCTCCAAGATCCCTTCCAACAAATTAGAAATTATTATTGGACCTGGTGATATGTTAGTAGGGCTTTGGTACTTCTTTTAGGCAAAATTCTGTTGTTTTTTCCCCATTAAAAATTGAAATATTTATTTGGAAGATGTTTGGATGACAGTTTGATTCCTGTTCAAATCAAAATTTGACACATTGAGATAATGGTAATTAAAAACCTGCAGGCAAATGCTTTCTTTTTCCTCCCCCCCCCCCTTTGAGTAATTGTATAAAGGATAGAATTTTAATTATTTTTTCCAAAAAAATCATATATTGAAAGAATATAGTCTATTTATCTTCTAATTTTTTAATGTGGACATTAATCCACTGATTAATTGTTCTAACTGTCAGAAAATTTCTCCTTAGTTCTAGTTGCTTCTCTCTTTGGTTAGTTTCCATCTGTTGCTTCTTGTCCTGCCTTCAGGTGCTTTGGAGAATAGCTTGACTCCCTCTTCTTTGTGGCAACCCCTAGTTATATATACATATGGAAAAATAATAAATTAATAAAAGTTTTAAAAACTGAATATGAGTCAAGAGTGTAATATGTTCAGAAAAGGCTGATGCAAGTGTATGTTGTATCAACAGAACTAAACAGAAACAGAACTAAAATTTGCAAAGTGTAGGTGTCATGGTTCCGACAGACCGAGACAAATAAAGCAGAACTCCGAGGCTTTATTGATACAAAGTATCAGCACTTCAAAAGTGAAACCAAGTCTGAAGAGATGCATAACAATTCCCCAATACAAAGTTAAGAAATCTCACCCCTAAAGCTATGCAAGCAACTACGTTTCCCCACTCAGCTTGTTGGCAGGCTTTTCATGAAACGCCCAGCCTGCAGTCCCGGGAGCAGCTAATGACCTTGGTTCCCATGAGGGAAAGTCCAAGAGAGAAAGTCTGTTTTGTTTAGTGCAAACCCTGGCATCCCCCCTCCCTCCCTGCTATGTGTCAACTATAAATGAGAAGGAAAAAAAAATGGCTGCAGCCATGCTCATTCTAAAGTTGACAGTAAGTTGAATAACTACACTTCCTGCATTGCTGATTCAAAGTCCACCAACACTTAAGAGTAGGAATAAAAGTTGCCAATGTAGTAAAATAAAAAAAGAAGTAGTTTTTTCTCATTTGGACAACCTAGGCATTGATATGTTGTTTTTATCTTAATTACTACTACTCTCCTTGTTAAAACAAAATAGAAAAAAGGTTGCATAAATAAAAGTACAGACTTGAATTATTTATTTATTTATTTTTATAAATTTTATTGAATAAAAAAAGGAATTAAAAACATTGAACATGGTAAATCAACATTTGACAGATATCTCAATCCATGTTTACATTAATTACAAATAAATCTCTTTACAGTAACATCATTCTAATCTCAATCTTGACTTTTCTCATTACAATGACCTCCATTTTTTTCCCACCATCTATAAAATTTATTCCATATTTGATAAAAGTCTGATTCATCCTGATTTTTTAATCTTTTAGTTATCCTGTCTAATTCTGCGCAATACATGATTTTCTGAATTATTGTTTCCCCACTCGATACATCCGTAGCTTTCCATTTTTGAGCAAATAATATCTTTGCCGCTGTAACCACGTGAATGAATAAATATGAGTCATCTTTACTTACATTTTTTTCAAGTATTCCTAACAGCAATGTCTCAGGTTGTACTGAATGTTTTGCATAGTCATTTCTATTGAGACTTGCATTATTTATGATTGTAAGTCACCTGATAGTACATTTCATTGAAATTAATGGATCTTATTTCTAACACATATGTGTAGAGAAGATTGAACTTGTGGCTTATCTTTCAGTTCTGAAAGACCATCCCTAACTGATGCTTTATATAATTGTCAGTCCATAAATTTTAAACTTTTCATTTTTTTTGAAAGAAAATGTTTTTCCTTAATATCTGGCAGTTGCCATATATGGTCACGTTGCATCAAACAAAGGGCCACAGTAATAGTGCCATACTATTATAGATTTTATAAAAGAGGGACCTGAAGTACTCATGCTTCAGAAACTCTCAGAACATCTGAGTAGACAGGTTGGCTAAAGAGGCCAAGTAATCATGTCTCTGCTCCTAAAATCTTGAAAGATCAAGCAACATGTCAAGGCACAGAAGAGTATCCTGCAAAAATCCTGAACGTAAAGTGCCTCCAAGCAGGAGGAATAAAAGGTGCAGGGTCATTTATGATTCACCTCTGAAAAAGAAGAATGGTAAACTTCTCATTTATACTGTTATACTGTGTGGATATACAGCTCTTGGCAAATAGTATGACCAGGGATATTGGGGAATCTTTAAGTATTTTGAAAGAATGTTTTGACAGTCAATTTGCATTCTGTTTTGGACAGGATATGTCCGTGTTTGTGCTACGTACTATTACTGGAAAGATGGAAAAAAATAAAATTTCCAGTGCTGAATGATTCCATCATTCCCGTCAGTTAATAACTGCCACCATGCAACTTTCAAGATAAGAAAACCCATTGGATAAGCCATCAGTGAGCTGAAAAGTCTGTAAGATTGGGGAGCAGTTCCTGACCTGCCTGCCATTAAACTCATAAAACTGCATTGTCTCTAAATGTCTTTTTCCTGAGTTTCAGTATAATGACATCTTTTTAAACTGAACAATTATGTAAGAGAACGACAAGCTTGCTTAAAAGGAAAACACACACTTAAATAAGTTTGGAACTAGAACAAGAAAGAAAATCATATAGTATATATAATTCTTCATCTTTAATATAACAGTACAATCTGGAGAGATGTCAGCCTTACAAAGTAGACTAGACAGGAAACATGACCAGATCAGTTAATTCTATTTTATTGTAAAGTTACGTTAACAGAAACTTGCAAGCCTAAAATTTCTTCTCTCCAACTAACCTTTACAGCCCCCAGACTTAGAGAGTATCCCTTTCAAATCTCTTGTCCTGCCCACATTTCTGCTGCCAGCTAGGCTGTCTTTTATTTGACTGTTCTCTAGGTTGCATCTCATTGCCTGGTTTCCCAAGGTCATTCCATATACCATTATATCTCTTCATATGGCCTAAGCATTGCTGATTTAAATTGAGCAAGGGATAATGTGGTTCTGAGACTTGGAAAATTGGTCATGGAGGTGAGACACATCATCCAATTTAGGGGACCATTTCTTAGTTCGGAAAATGAATCAATAATTTGTGAAGGAAACCAACAGGCTACATTGATTAACCACTACCACTATCCTCTTCATACTTACCTATCCGGATTGCAAACACTGGAGTTTAAAACATGTTGATCAGATGCCCATAAAGGCATCCACTTATATTTTGTCACCTCAGAGTGCCTCTTTCTCCACATGACTAGAATCTTGCTATCAAGTAATTTTCAAGTAAATTCTTTGAATTATTGTCTTTATTTCCTCACAGTTCAGTTATGAATTATGAATTTCCCAATATATATTGTGTTGGATTTCAGCTCCTGCTGAATTGCAAAGATAGGGAAATCAAAAGTGGCAAAACTCATGAAAAGCGTAAGTGTAAGCAAAGATATGGGAAATAAATATAATCCCTAAATTAATTCTAAAATGAATGGGGAAGGTTGAGTTATTTTGAATAAAGCACTGGAATAAATTCATGAATTTATATACACAAGTATACAGCTGTTACATGCACATGCTTATTTTATATAGAGAAATACAAAGACAAAAGTGATAATTTAGGATTGCATAGTAAGTATAATCAAAGTCAATGGGGCTTCTACACATAGGACAAACTTCTTCCTCATTAATTTCAAAGGAATGTAGATCACCAAGTGCTTTGTGATCTCATAATGTTTCCCAATATGATTATTGTAATGATATTCCATGTGTATCTAACATGAAGTACTTCCTCCTATGTTCTCCCTTAGTACTATTTTGTTATTATTGGCACTTATTTCAATCAGAACAAATGTCAGTATTAAGCCAGTACTGGCTCTGTCCAATGGGTGTAACTACCATGTGGTTACTTAGAGAAAAGCAGTAAGGATGTGGCAAACTTTCAAAGTTTCCACTGCAAAATATTTATTTAAAAAAACTATATATTCTAAAATACTTTTAAAATGAGATTCCTAATGTAAGCTGCTTCATTTATTTGAAATTGGGTGAGATTAATTATTATTAATTAATTATTATAATCATTGATGATTTTTCTGTTATGTTTATTGTGTATGAATTCGGCTAAAATTTAATGTGAAGATCTTATTAGGAACTTTTGTGAATATTTCACTGTTTACAAATTATATATTTCTTTATGCCAAAAGGCAAAAAAGAGGTTTTTGCTTTTACTAATTATAATGCTTTTATATTAAATTAATTACACTAAACCAATTGCACCATGTAAATAACTTAGTCTCTTATTCCAGAAATAAGCCCAGCATTACTTACATTTCTTTAAGAAGTCTAGGAGGTTGGAAAGAAACCATTAGAATTAAAAACAGAGTATCATGTCACCTGCCTTACATGATTTATTCATCCCTAGTTTCACACAAAACTAGTTTGGACAAAACTCAGCAGCACTTTTTTGTGCGGCTGCTGATAAAAACAGGATTGCCAATGACCGATAACAGATATGGCACAAGAAGAAGTTTCACAAAAGACTTCAGCATCACTGGGTTTTAAGTGTATTTTATAAATACATTTACTTCATATTTTACTAAACACTTATCAAATTTTGCAGACTCCTGTAAGTGTAATGTATTATGTATAAAAGCACAATTTTTTTTGTTTTTTTTAAAAACACTGAATCAATATAAAGTTTCTAATACTGGTAACTTTTATGTCTGATCTGTGAGTTTCTTTCAGCTGTAAAGGAGCAATTTCTTTTAAAATCCTTTCAAAGGTATAGGAAGTGATAGCATTGACTTTTCATTTCTTTCCTTATTGCATAATTCATTTTACAACAGAATATTTATTGTTTCCTGAATAAAAAGGATACAACACAACAAATATTCAGCTATTTCTTATTTTGAAATATTTATATTCAGTGAGATTTATTTTCAGTTAAAATAAGGTGACCAACTTTTTTACAATGAAAAGGAGGACCCAAATAAATTGAAAAAAATGTCGTAAGTAAAAGAAACATTTTATTCATTGCAACAATACAGAATGTACTATAATATGATAAATGCATAATAAAAAACATTTGTAACAATAACATTTTATATTGTAATTATGCTTACATGCCATGCCCCTGCCTGCAGCCACCCCACCAGCACTGCTACCCCGCCGTGTAGAGCGGGCTCCGTGGCTTCCATAGCACAGGGGAGCAGCTGGCCATCACCATCCCTCACACCCCTGCCCGCAGCAACCCCGTCGCCCCTGCCTCTTGCACCCACAGCTATTATTGCCCTAGCAGGGCCGAAGATCAAGAGAAAGTTACCATGGCGTTGCCACTCCAGTCTCCTCCAGGTATCTTTGGGATTAACTAGGAGATGGTGTAGTTGGGTAGTAGGGAGGGGTGCAAAGTTCCTGGCAATTCGCCTTTGCTGCAGACAATTTACATGTGCAAAGTTTGCCAGCTGGGTGTTTTGGCGCGCTCAGCAGCAATTCCTATTGGCTTTCAAAAGCCAATAGGGGGAATAGCACAGCTCATGCAAAAGTTGAAAAAAAAAACATCAAAAAAGGGTGCTGGAACGCTGTTCTGAGCGTTCTATGAGGGAAAAAAAAGCCCTGCAGATTAGTCTTCAAAGGACATGTAGGAGGACACTTTTTGAGGGAGGACAGAACTCACAAAAGGAGAACTGTCCTCCCTAAAGGAGGACGGTTGGTCACCTTAGTTAAAAGTGTAAACCTAACCCTAGGCAAATTCATTTAGGTGAAATAGTTCAGTGGTGCATAATCTGAAATATCATGTTTCCCTGAAAATAAAACCCAGGTTTTTTTTCTTTTGCCTCCAAAAGAGGCACTAGGTCTTATTTGGGGGGAATGGCTTTTCCACTCACCTCCGGCACTGACAACCCCAGCCAGCCGGCCCACATCTTCTGCAGCTGAAGGAGCAGCTTCATTCTGCAGCTCAGAATGGAGCTCGGGCCTGCATTTTGCAGTCAGGCCTTTCCAGAAGCCCTCTGCAGCCAATAACCGAGCAATGAATTCAATCCATAGCTCAGTTCTTGCCTGCAGAGGCCTTGCAGAACTGAGTTATGGAGTCAATCCATAGCTCGGTTCTCAGGCTCAGTGACCTTCTGGAAAGGCCTCTGACTGTGAAATGCAGGCCTGGAGACACTGCAGAAGAAGTGGGCTGGTGAGGAGATGCTTGGCTGCAAGGTAAGTGGGTGCAGGGCATGAGGGTCAGCTCTACTTCCCCGCTCCCCACCCTAGCTTGATTTTTTAGGTGTGTGCCTTGCCCCAAAACTAGGGCTTATTTTTGGAGTAGGGCTTATATTAGGCCCAGCCCCCCAAATCAAGCTAGGGCTTATTTTCAGGGTAGGTCTTACTTTTGGGGAAACATGGTATGTATGCATAGAATAGCAGCCACCATGCATATTTTTTTCAGAAAATCAAGTTCAAAGTTGCTTAAGCTGAGCATTGCAAAATTATGAATGTAAGATAATAGAGCCCTACTCTAACGGTACATAAAAAGAACCATTTGTGTTTCTCTTTCTTATTTTAGAAGAGCATTTTGACACATGAAAAGTATTAACAACCCCTCCTAACATTTTCTTTATGTATATCTGTTTATTGTTGGTCCATGCTGTTGTATTCCCTAAGGTGGACAGCTTACAGTCTTCTATAAATTCTACCTCTCCTATATTATGAATGTTGAAAACTGTGATTATTACTTTTTAAATGTCAGGCTACATTCACCTACTATGTGTATAATACATTGGGTTTTGAAGTAAGCTGGTGCTACAATGCAGGAAGAGTCTTTAAGGAATCTGCCTTTTTATTATAAGATTAAGTAGCTTTTGAGCCCTATCAGAATACAACTTAGAGATTTTGACTATGGTTCATGGTTTGGAAAAAAAATCAACAGCAGCTGTCCATCACAAATCATGAAAGGCACACAAGAGAAGAAAATGTTGATGGCTTTACACTTCCTCTCCTAACAACCTTCCTAATTGTCCTAATTTCAGCAACGCTGAGGTTGCAAGGAGGCTTTTGGAGCTTCTATGTGTCTCTATGTGTTTACTACCTTCCCCCCTCCTTTCCAGCCCATCATTATATGCATTCAACAGAACTGAAAAGATGTTCACCCATGGCTTCCCCTATTGTGAGCTACAGGAACATCTTTAATGAAAACACAGATTTCATTCTGAGACAAACATAGGAAACACATTCGCTGGGTATCTGATATTGTTAGATAGTCAGTGCAGTTGGCCATGTAATGATGTAAAAACATAAGTGAGGACAATGCTTCTTGACCTATTTGTATTGCTCATTATAAAAAGTAAGATCCAACTGACAATTTAGTATAATGAGTACTCAAATTACTTTATTTGCAAAAAAAATATCAGGAATAAAAAAAGATATTCAAAACACTAGCATGCTGTTCAATTTTTGAATAAGAATGGGACAGCCTGAGCTTCCAGAGACTACCACCACACTAATTGCTGAAAATCAGTG